CAAGGCTCTATTAAAACCATTGTAAGGAGTTCAGGGGAACCTGTAAAACTTGAGCATCATTATTAGATTGTAAAACATGTACTCCTAAAAATGTTTTTGGTTTTTTTCCTTTTTGTAGGCATGGAAGTCTTATCTCTATTGAGGGAATAGTGAAGTCTGATAAATATACTTACATACTGAGAAGCAGACTTGTTTAAATGGAGGTAGAAATGGTGTCACAGGCTTGCACTACAATAATAATAGCAAGTAACATTTACATAGCACTTACTATGTGCCAGGCACTATGCCAAATGCCATGAAAGTTCAAAAAATTTATCCAAGAAATGGTGATAAACATACTTCAGTGGCCTGGGAATTCATATTATTTAAACCCTATTGAAATCAAAACTAGACCTAGAAAAATCAACTGTCAAAATTATGCTTAATATTCAGTGTGATAAAAGTATAGTTTAATTATGATGAATTAAAAAGTATGTGTCAAAATCTTGTGAGCACAGTCATAAATCATGTAAAACAAATGATTATAGCAAAATAACAGTGCATTATAAACTTTTTATGAAGACATAATAAATTATAAAGTGCATTTTGTGTCAGTACATTTAATTATTTTAATTTGTCCTAGTGAATTTGTGCATCATTGTTTGTGCACAGTGTTATGCTAGGTGCTGTTTTCCATTTCACTGATAGTTAACATTTTGAACTGGAACATGTTTAAGAAGTAGGTGCAGAATCTAGCAAAACGTTTGGATTTGAAATGAGAGGATCTCATTCTAATATTTGTTCTGTGCAACTTTGGGCTAATTCCTTTACCCTTTTGCGCCTTGGTTTCTTCATCTGTCAAATGGTAGGGGTAGGGCAGAGATGAGGTGGACTAAGTGATCTCCATGATACCTTTTACGGACCGAAGATCCATGATCCTAAGTCCTAAGTTTAAGGAGACCACAACATTGTCCTCTGTTTGTTTTATCATTTCTGTGATTTGGAAAAGGAATGTAAGTTTTCACAAACTAAACTGGCAGATTTCATGGATGACTCTTTCCTTGTGAGAATAGTCCATTCCTAGAGCCAGACAGCTGCCTGCTGAGTGAATTCTTCTGGGGGAAAATGGGACAAATGACAATGCAAAAATCTATGAGAATGCTTCAAATATAAATGCACTAAAATGCTTTGCTTTAGAAGGAAGCTATGATGTCCTGTTGTTTTTTGGCATAGCATTTCTTCAGCTAATCACAAAAACAGGTCCTTTATGTTGATGGTACAACAGTGTCAATTTCTAAAAAGCTGTTTGCTCAAGAGACCCCTTGGTGAAATGCCCTGTTTTGATGATGGTTTTTTTTTTTTTGGCTCAAAAATCTTATTTTTGCACTTACTTTTGCTTCTGAAGTAGCATTAGCAATATTTTTCTGTTGACTTTTTATGGCCCATGTTTCAAAGGAACTTTCTGTTCTGGAAGCCAGAAAATCTGGGTTTTAACTCTGTTTTTTCCACTTACTAGCATTGTGAAACTGTGATAAGTTGCTTCATTTTTCTGATCTTCAGTTTCTTCATCTACAAAAATAGGAAAAATGATACTTGTACTACCTACTTCATGGGATTGCTGTGTGGAAAGTGCTTTGCAGACCTTAAAGCAACATTGATTCCATTATACATCCTCTGATCCAACCAAGTCTGGCCTCATGTTCCCCCAAACATAACACAATCATTCTTTTTTTTTTTTTTTTTGGCAAGGCAGTTAGGGTTAAGTGACTTGCCCAGGGTCACACAGCTAGTAAGTATCAAGTGTCTGAGGCTAGATTTGAACTCAGGTCCCCCTGACTCCAGGGCCAGTGCTCTATCCACTGTGCCACTTAGCTGCCCCCCACAATCATTTTTACTTCCATGCTTTTGATTATGCTTACACAGACCAGTTAGAATATAAGCTTCTTGACGTCTAGAGCTGTCTTTGCTTTTGTATTTATATCCTCAGGTTAGCTCAGTGTTCGGCACATAATAAGAGCTTAATAAAATCCCCTTTTTCGTTTGTTCATTCATTCACTCATCCATCAATACATAACTAGATAAGACATCTTTACAGCTGGACACAGCTGGGTTCTTCATTTATACTACATATCTATAACTTATCTACGATATAGCTTGGGCGGGCCCTGAAAATCCTTACACTGTGGTAAAATGGTTATTGTACTAAAAGAGCTGTTCTATGTGTGAAGTAGCTGCTGTTTTACACCTGAAAAATACAGGGGCAAGAGATATAGCCCAATGAGGAAGCTCTCCCTGAGCTTGGGTGGAGGCAGTAGAAGGAACTTGTAGTAAAAATAGGTAGGTTGTGATGTAGGATATAATGAATGTCAGCCAAGGTCAGGGAACAGTTAAGTTGGCAAATTTTTGAAGAGGAGGAAAGAGAAATAAGTCTGGAAAGGTAGGCTGGAGCCAGACTGTGAAGGGCTTAAAATACCAAGCTAAGGAGTTTGTATTTTATCTTAGAGGCAATAGAGAACAACTCAAGATTTTTGACACGAGGCATGACATTCTCAGAACTGTTAATAATTGAATAACAATAAACAACACAGCATGAACCAGGGTAACTATGTCTTCTCTGCATTATCACAGGTTATCTTTGTGAAGAAACCTGTACATGAATACAGAAAACACTCATTACTAGCCAGGGGGCAAGAGCTAATGATTACACTTCTAGAATTGAGTACCAGAAGGTTATTTAAGGCAATAGTGAGGGTCACTCAGCAGCTCCTGATTGTTGAAACTGATCCCTGTGGTTGTGCAAGGCAAAACATTGGAAGGCATTGCTCTTGTGATTAGAAATGGTGATTTGGGCCCAGTCCTGAAACTCAGCCTTGCAACTAGAAGCAAGTAATCTATTCCCTCCCCCTCTTTCTCTTTTGCCTGCCCAACCCCACTTGTCCCTTTGTGAGCTAAGTGAGTTCCCTGTGCTCTTGGTCTGCAGTCTGGTTCCAGACTGCTTTCCTAGCTCCATTTCACATTAACATTCTTCATGCACTCTATATTTCATTCAAACTGAACTGACAGCTCTTTCTAAGTCTTGTTCTGCATTCGATTCCAAACTGCTCCCGGCCACCAGAATCCATAGAAAAAGAACAAAAAACTGCATTGATGATGCCATGTGACTATAAATCATCGAACCCCATCATCTCTGAAGACTCAGCTTTGCAGGTGTTCCAAAGGCACTTGTGGGGTATAAGTAGACTTCAGTATATTACTAATGATGACATGCATAACACATATCACAGAAGACATCATTACAAATGTGAGTGACTAGAAAAGGATTTGGCTTAGTCATGTCACAAGAATGAGTGAGATAACAAGTCAACAATCTGAATGGGGCATTGGCAAACTGAGTGAGATAGTATGCGTGAAGTGTTTTGCAAATCTTAAAGTGTTGTACAACTGATAGCAGTTATCAACTATTACTAACTATTTAAAAACCTAGAGGAAGGCTTCTGGCATTTGGGTCCATCCTATGTGGAGGATTCATGGAAGGACTTGGAAAGGCTTGCACGAGATATGAAAGCATCAATAAATCATAATCTGTGTGGCTGGAGAGAGTGCTCATAGTGATGGGATCATGGATTACTGAAGTATCAGACTCTGTGGGGCAGTGGGTGGCACAGGGGATAGAGAGCTAGAACAGGAGTCAGGAAGACCCTGGCTCAGACACTCACTGATGCCGTAGCTCTGGACAGCCTTGCCTGATAAAAGTTTACCAGCAAAGATCCCAAATGGTTTCAGATGATAAATAATAAAAATAATACTAATGATAATAATAGCTAACATTTCTATGTTGCTTATTATGTTCCCTATGAAGTTATGTCATTTGATGGCAGTATGTTTTTTTTTTTTTTAAATGTATATGTTCTCACAGTGGCTCATAGATACAGCATGGGACTTGGGGTTAGGAAGACCTGAATTCTAATCCTGCCTTAAACACTTACTAGCTAGTTTAATTATTTAAACTCTGTACCTCAATTTCTTCATCTGTAAAATGGGGATAATAGCACCTACCTCACAGGGTTCTTGTGAGGAACATATGAGATAATGTAAATCACTGTGCAAACCTAAAAGTGCCACAAAAATGGTAGCTATTATTATTGTTGTTATTGTTGCTTATAATAAAATTTATATTCTTGCCTTTTCATGCCCAGAAATAGAAGAAACTACTGACTTACTTTATTAACTCTGAACACCGGCCAGTGTCAACAAGTTACCTGCTCTTCTAATAGAATTCTTTGCTCTGTTGAGGACAAAGTACATTCAATTGATTTATTTTTTAATCCCCCTGCCCCCCAAAAAAGTGCTTTTGTTTATAGCTAAAGTTGCCATTTCAAAGCAGGAAATAAAGCAAAGATATTGTCCAAGAAGACTTTTTTCCCCCCATTTCTTCCCAAAATGGACAGGAGAAGAAGAATATAGATAAGACAAAGTCCAGCAATAAAGACATTGAACACTAACATACTTTACTTTGGTGAATACCTGTTTATAGTTTTCTCACATTGTAGGCAGAAAGGAGATTGCTGTTGGCCCCATGCTCCCTTAAAAACATCATTCACAGAGAGAATCACATTTCTCTGTGACTGTTCCTAGGACTCTGCTTTAATTCCTCCCCCACACCCTCATCTGTTAGTGCTTTTTCATTCAAAGTTACCTCGTGTCTGTATTTTATGCATCTTGTGTATATCTGTATAAACATGCATATCATGTCTCCTCTTACTCACCCTCTGCGGCCCCCCCCCCCCCCCAGTAAGTTCTTTAAGGCAGGACCTGTTTTGTTTTTCTCCAGGGTGAGGAAATTCTTTCCACCAATGCCAGGCCCCACAATTCTCTACAACTTAGTCTTAGAGAGTTGCCTGGAGTTGAGCAATTAAGTGACATGTGACAGAGTCACAGTCAGTAGGAATTAGAAGGACTTGAAATTAGATTTTATTGGCTTTGAGTTTGGCTCTGTATCCATTATGCTTTGCCAGCTTTCCAAAAACATGTTTAGATGTCTCAGAGTAGGTGGCAGTGTTACAATTATATGTGTTATAAAGACTCTATGACCCCTTTCATCCTTATTAAGAGAAATAGCTGGTCTTCCCTCCTTTCATACAGTACTTAACTGTGCTTGGTATATGGTAAGTGCTTACTAAATGCTAGAAATTCCTCTTTCAGGGCTGCACTAATGGATAATGTGGTTGAAGCAAGTAGGAAGCACTATAATGGCCAACTGGAAGTCCCCTTCTAAGAATTACCTGGGAGTTATAATTTAGGAATTGATGACATGGCAATAACGGGGATAATCAGAAGAGACAAATCCCAGTCCACTGTATGGGATCCATAACATATGTGGGAACTGGAATGATGTTGCTAGACAGGATGAGATACTAAGGAGACTGAACCACTAATAAGGGGAGAAGGGTATGATAAGGCATGGAGCAGGCTGGGTGGAGAAAATCAAGGTTAACTAATCCAGATTAGAGTAGCTAGGGTAGCCACCACTGTATCGAGATGTGGTAGTTTATGCAACAGATGTGACCAGCTGTGAGTTCTACATTTTACGGGTACGTTGACCAACATTCTCTTGTGGTGTGTGGGTTTGCATTTGTGCACATTGTTAACAGGACAATTAATCTTCTCAATCTGTGGTCCCTTCCTCATGAAACATAATGTTCCCTTACCTTGCCTACAACCTCCACCTTGAAAAAAACACCGTTCTTGTACATCTTTCTGAGAAAATGGTGCTCTGTTACTGTACTAAGGAGATTAAAAATATGCATATGTTTATTTATATATGCATATGTGTATTTACCTCTGTATTTATCTACTTATACTTTCCTGCATGTCTCAGTGAACATTTCTAAAACATTTTCTATACTTTGAGCTGAAACATTTCTTTGTAAAATTAAATCATCTGGACCCATGATTTTATCAGTGTAGAAAGCTCCTGGTAAAGAAACATTCTCTACCAGTGCTGATCAGCCACTGCGTCCCAGGCACATTGAGAAGTTAAGTGACTTTCTCAGGGTATACTGCCTACATATGTCACAGGTGGGACTCTATATCAAGTCTTCCTTCTATCTGATACATCATAGAATAGTTAAGTAAAGTAAGAAAACGACCTATAGATTAATTACTGCATATTTGTTCTATGGTCAAAGACTATAGAAATGAACTTAAAAAAAAAAAGTCAGGACCAAAATCAATGTAGTCTCAAAAGTGAGGAATGGCATATTCCAAACAGGATACTCTTGAAATTTTAGGATAAAAGTTATTTTTTTAATTGCTACTGACCATTATTTTTACTTTTATAAGGAAAGTCTTTAAACGTAAGATAGAAACATTTGATATGCTCCATTGATTGAACAGGGTAGTACCTTGGGAAAATCTACTGAAAAACCCTGTTGGCAGCCTGCTGACCAAGCGTTAGTATGGCTATGAAATGGAACAAGTTAATTTCCAATTATATTCCACTTGCTTACTGTGGTACCAATAGGTACAGATTGAAACCAGAATTAGACCCAAGTGGATATTTGAGAACATTATGACTTGATTGGTGGAAAAGCACCTTGAAAATCAGATAGGTCTCTTCTGATCTCCCTGGAACGGGGAAGTACCCCACTAGACTGACCAGAGGCCTTTCTGTTGAATACATTGGATGTAGCAGAAGAAATAGAAAATATGTTTACTCTTACCACCTGCTTACCCTCAAACCCCACTCCCCCAAGTTACAAGAGAAGAGCTAGAAAAACCAGGAAATACCTCCCCATGCTTCCCCAGTAGGAAAGGGAAAATAAATCAACCCCTATAGAAATACAGCCAAATTGATAGCTTCTAACAGTTTGAGTTTGTAACATTTTAGCCTTATAATTCACTACCTTTATTCTTCTTTTTCCCCTTGTGGTAACATCAAAAGACTAGAAAAATCAATCATGTTTAGCCTTGAAAAGGGTCTGTGTACTAATATGGTAGGCCAGAAGTTGTTGGGAGTAGTGAAGGTAACATAAAACTGAGGACTAGATTTTTTTCCCTCCTGAGGTTGGAAGCTTTCACACACCTGGTATTTCCTTTCTGATCATTCCTTCTCTCCTTTTCTCTCCTTCCTCTGACAAAAATGAAAAGGAATTGGGAAACCAACTGAATAGTAACACATTTATGAACCATCTTGAAACCCTATTTTTCATTCTAATTTCCTGTCCTTTCTTCAAATTTGAATTTTACCAGAGTAGTCTCCCTTGTTGGAAATAGGTTGGTCACTCTCCCTCCCTACTCCCTTTAGATGTTAGTCAGTGATAATCTTCTGATAAAGTCCTGATGAAGTGGCCATATTGACTGAGCTCATTGGGTGACCGGATACCTTTCTGAAATTTTTTCACTTTCAGAGAACAACAAGGAGACAAAGCAATGGTAATATGAACAGTGACCGTCTTTAGACTTGGCAGCCCTTTTCTCTTACTTTTAATCCCTTCCTTGGTCTAGGCAGACTGAGACATGAATCAAACAGCTTTCTACTGCACTGAAGAAATTAGGTTTTCCATTCTACCTACTCAGTTCTTCCGATTGCAGCATTGAAATCCTTCAGTGGATAGAAAATAGGAAAATAAGCACCAACTCTTACTGTGGTCATAATAATAAGCGCTTACCCAAAAGAGCTAGCAGAAGGAAGTTCGAAAGAGGAGATAGACAAGCAAGGCAGTATCAGTCCTACCGTGTTAAATTTAGTGTGTGCTTGAGACAAACAAACAAAAAAAGGAGATGAACTTTTCCAAATAGCTGTGATTTTGAATCATTTTCACAGAAGAGTTAATCAAGATGCAGCTTAAGTATCTCCTTTTCACTAAGTCTTTCCTGATTTTCCCAATGGCTAGTGCTTCTCCTCTTCAGCCACCTTATATGTAACTACATTATATTTATTTATATTTATTCTCTTCACATTTGTTCTGCATATGCTTATATATGTTGTTATTATCTCTCCTATTAGAACATAAGCACCTTATGAGTATGGATTGTTTCATTTATTATTTCTGTACCTCCAGTGCTGAGTTCTGAGTAGGCACTTAATAAATCCTTTTTGGTTGATCTGATTTGTCTTCTTACTTCAAGATGCCTTCTCTCTCTTTCACCACAATTATCTTGGGATGATTCTAATGTGAAAGAATCACCATCTAAGTATAGAAACTGAATTTAAATTACAATCATAGTAATAACAGCTCGTAGCCACATGGCACTTTACGAAGCTCTTTTCTAACAGCCCCCAGTGAGAGGGCCTCATTTTGCAGCTGGAGAAACAGGGACTTAGAAGTTCAAGGACATACCCATAATCCTACAGCAGGTAAATGGCAAACCAGAGCTTGAGTTCGAGCCGCTGCACTCCAAGTCTTGGTTTCTTTCAAGTACACTATTGTGCTGACCCAGATATAGTTCTGTTAAGGAACCCAGATTCCATGTGCATGTTTTAGATATCCAGAATTGCAGATCATGGCTCATGGCTGAACCTTTTGCAAAACAACGTGATTTCTTTCAGGGAAATCAGCATTGTTATCAGTTACAGAGCAGTACAGTTCCGTTAAAAAAATTACTTTTCACCCTGATCGTTATTTTATTTTTTTTAGTTTTGAGCCTTGTCTTTCCCTCTGCTGGGCCTTGTCTCTGTCTACTCCCCCCAGCCCTGCAAAAGTCCAGGCACCCCACCCCCACCTCCACCCCCACCCCATTTCTCTGAAACTAGTTTCAGCAAAAGATTATGCTGTTGGCATATCAGACTATTTTCACTGAAAACCAAACAAGTCTATACACATGCTATGTTCCCTTGTGCTTTCTAGGTCTAACTAGTCAGTGCTTGGCCCATTAATTGTTCTCAATATGAAACACTTTATAATTTCATAAAAACTTTCTAAATAAGTAAAAAAAGTATCTACTCACATAAATTATTATTCATTCATTCATTTATTTTTGCCTGACCCAGTCTCCTCTGTGGAGCTTTCATAGGGCAATAAAGTAAATTAAACCTTCCTTCTTTTATGTTCACTTGGCAAAGCTTATCATCCTGGGTGAGTAAGCTATTTCCAAGGTTATAAGTAGTGATATTTCAATATTTGATAACTATTGTACTTGAAACTTGTGAAGGTATATAGATAAAAAAAAAACATCCATTTATCCAGTAGTATGGTACCTTCAACCATTCAGAACTGCCACAAACCCAAAGTAACCCAAACTGCAGGAAGTGATGAAAATAGTTGAGAAGAAGCAAAGATACAAAGATTACAAATGATGTGATTTAATTGATTGGTTCATTAAACAGAAGGAAAGGGGCACAACTCATTGACCGGCAATAGCTATTAAAGCTAACCCTCACAGATGCCACAACTGAGCTGTGTGTAGGGAATAGGAAAAAGAGAGACAAAGGGATGAGAAAGAAAAGAAGAAGAAAAGAAATAAGAATGGGGAAGACAGTCTTCTTTGCTGGCCTTCCTTCCAGGTCATATCCAGTATCTTAGGTTAGTGCCTCAGGTCTCTGTCATCAGCCCTTGTTTCTCTTCCCTCTGCACTCTCACTTGTTGATTTCATTGGCTCCCATGAGTTCAATTGTTTCTATGCAGATGGTTCTCAGATCTTAGATCTAGCCCTAATCTTTCTCCTGATCAACAGTTATACATCACCAACTGCCTTTTGGACATCTCAGCTTAGATATCCTATAGGCTACTCAAACTCAGCATACCCCAAACAACTGATTTTCTTTTCCCTAAACACTTTCTTCTTTCCAACCTCCGTGTTACTTTACTAAGTCAATAAATAATCAGTAGACATTTATTAAGCACCTACTCTGTGCCTGACACTGTGCTTAGTGCTACTTAGAGCGCTGGGCCTAGAGCTAGGAAGACCTGGCACTGAACGTTCTTCACAGCCTAGTCTTTCTGTATTTCCAGTCTGTTTACCCCTACTCCCTCCTCCGTGCTCTCTGTTACAGTGACCAGCTTGCTGTTGCTCAGGTACCTCCCTCCATCTCCTGTTTCTGTGCCTTTGGAAGAGTTGGCTCTCATTCCTTGAACATTCTTCCTCTTCACTTCCATGTCTTTTTTTTTTAATTAATTAATTTATTTTTAGTTTTCAACATTCAC